ACGTAGCAAATAAAAAAATATAGTACAATGAAAATTTATGTTCCTTGCGAAACTTCGTCGTTCTTTTCCAGCCGTCCTGGAAAAGAGGAAAAATAAAACGTGTGAGTGCATGTCAAAAATACACTCGTACTTGCGTAAGGACATAAGATGAGCGGAAAAAAATAAACTGATACACTTACAAACAGCGTAAAAGCGATCGGAAAACAGGGTTTCTTTTGGGTTTTTTTTAAATATATAAATATATATATATATATACGTTCAAAGAAAAATGTTTTTTTTGTTGTTTTTTTTTCATATATAAACAATGAGCATATTAAAAAAAAATTTATAATAAACTTTGAAAGGGTAATTCCAGATAAAGCTTATGTCCTACGTGTAATATTCGTTAAGATGTTCTGGAAATCTGACTCGTCTTCCAGAACGCGTTGTTTTAGGTTTTTCTATCGACGTTGACGAAGTATCAAGTTGTGTGTCGGTTGTCGTGTAGGGTACTACGAGTGTAGTAGCTGTGTCGTTTGCTTGTACCGAAGGAAAATCGACGTAGCTAGGGTTTCCTTCTAGGTACGCAGCTTTGAGTCGATCGATACTGATGCTATCTTTCGTACCGTTCTTATCAACTACATAGTACTTAGGTTCGCGTTGAAGAACTTTGAAGGGTCCTTCGTATGCTGATTCGAGGGGTCGTCGATGTGAGTCTCGACGAACGAAGACGTGTGTACCATGTCGTAATTCGGGTTGAACGAAAACATCAGTTGATTGAGGTCGAGTGTGAGCAGGTTTAACTGAACGCATAGCGTTTGTAAGCCTACTCGTGTAAGAGTTTAGATCCATGTTCAATGAAGAAGCTGAAGGATCCACGAATTCTCCTGGGAGTCGGAGTGTCGTTCCGTAAACGAGTTGAGATGCCGTGTATCCAATGTCAGCTTTCACTGCATTGCGGATACCTAGCAAGACGAGTGGAAGAGCGTCTGTCCACTGTGAAACGTTTGAAGCTGATAATGAGGCTTTTAGTTGTCGATGCAAACGTTCTACCAACCCGTTTGCTTGTGGGTGGTAGGCGGTCGTTCGGAAGCGCGTGATTCCTAAAAGTGTGGTCAGACAACGGAAAAGTCCAGATTCGAACTGGCGTCCGCGGTCCGTAGTGATGGTTGAAGGGCAGCCGAAATTTGCTACCCATCGTTCGACGAAAGTGCGAGCCACTGTTTCGGCAGTAATGTCCTTAATCGGTACTGCTTCTGGCCATCGAGTAAAACGGTCTACGCATGTTAGGAGATATGAGTATCCGTTCGAGTCGGGTAAGGGTCCTACCAAATCTAGATGGACGTGGTCGAAACGAGCGTCAGGGGTTTTGAAAGAACCTAAGGGACATTTGTTGTGTCTGATTACCTTAGATTTCTGACAGCTTACACAGGAGCGTGACCACTCCCTCACGTCTTTATTCATGCCAGGCCAACAAAAGCGTCCGGCTATAAGTTCGATTGTTGCACGAGCACCTGGATGAGAAAGATTGTGCAACGTATTGAAGACGTTGCGGCGATAGTGTTTTGGTACAATTGGACGATCCCTACCTGTAGATGTGTCACAGAGTAAGGTTTCCCTACCTGTTCCCATCTGCCTAATACTTAGTTTAATAGTTGTCGAGGATAACTCATGCTGAAGATCAATGTCTTCTTTTTGAAGCTGAGCGAGTTTAAGAAGGTCGATTCCTTGGAAACTGTTCAAAGAGCTAATTCGAGACAAGGCGTCTGCGACTACATTGTCTGCTCCAGAAATATGTTGTATGTCTGAAGTAAACTGCGAAATGTAGTCGAGTTGTCGAGACTCTCTTGGTGAGTACTTGTCTGAAGATGAACTTAAAGAGAAGGTAAGAGGTTTGTGATCGGTAAAGAGCGTGAATTCTCTTCCTTCGATGGAATGTTGAAAATGCCGTACAGCACAATACATAGCTAGGAGTTCCCTACCGAACGTGCTGTACCTAGATTCCGCGTCTAGCAACCGTCTCGAGAAAAATCCTAAAGGTTGCCATGAGTTGTTAACCCATTGTTGTAAGACTGCTCCGATTGCTGAGTCGGATGCGTCTACGGCGATACTAATGGGCGCTTGACTGTCCTGATGAGCAAGCAAGGTTGCTTTAGCGATGTGTTCCTTAACTGTGGAAAATGCTTTACGGGCTATGTCGTCTAAACTAATTGATTTCGCATTTCCACGAAGCTGATCGGTTAACGGTTTCATTATGGATGCGCATTTAGGTATGAACCGTCTATAGAAACTTACGAATCCGTTGAAAGTTCGTAACTGCTTGATCGTGGTCGGTTCTGGGTAATCCAGAATGGCCGCCACTTTGCTCCTAAGGGGTCGGATGCCTTGCGCATCAATGGTGTGTCCTAAGAAGTCTAAGCAGTTAGTTCCGATTTGGCATTTCTGAATGTTGACAGTAATGCCATGCCTTTGAAGTCGATCGAAAACAATGTCCAGATGCTTGAGATGCGATTCTTTGTCCGGACTTGCTATTAGACAGTCATCAACATACGCATGCACGAAGTTGAGACCTCGGAAGACGTCGTCTATAAACCTTTGGAAGGTTTGAGCCGCGTTTCTTAAACCAAAGGGCATTCGTAGAAATTCGTAAAGACCGAAGGGAGTGATGATGGCGGTTTTAGGAATATCGTCAGGTGCCATCGGGATTTGGTTATAAGCTTTAACCAAGTCGATTTTCGAAAAGACAGTTGTACCTTTCAAGGTAGCTGTCAAATCGTGAATATGAGGCAGCGGGTAACGATCGGGAATGGTTTTAGCATTCAGACGCCGATAATCACCAGTTGGCCGCCAATCATTGCTGTCCTTTTTAGGGACCATGTGCAATGGGGATGCCCATGGACTATTCGATGGTCGAATTATTCCTAGGTCCATCATGTGGTTGAATTCGTTTTTAGCTAACCTAAGTTTTTCGGGAGCGAGTCTTCGGGCTTTCGAAAATACAGGTGGTCCTGTAGTCGAGATGTGATGTGTAACATTGCTGGTTACACAAGGTAATTTCGATTGCGATTGGTATATCCCGGGGTATTTGTCGAGTACTGCTTGGTACAAGGGGTCTATGGCGTGCTTAATCGTGACTGGGGATAACCTGCAACCAGAACAAGGAGTTACGCAAACGGACAACTTAGTGTTTCCGTCTATTAACCTTCGTGCGCGTGTGTCGATGAGTAGATTGTGGTGTTGTAACAGGTCAATACCAATGATTGGCATAGAGACATCTGCAACCACGAAAATCCAGTGTATGGGTTTACGTAAACCCACGTTAAGGTAGACGTACCTTTTACCGTAAGTAGCGATCGGCTTTCCGTTTGCCGCCTGTAAACTTAAAACAGACTCGCGAAGTCTGTCGTCGAGATTTGCTGGAAGAACGCTAACTTCTGCGCCAGTGTCGACGAGGTAGCGAACTTTCGTAGTCACATCCGTGACATATAAGAGGCGGCTGTGTTCGCCGGCTACGGTCGCCGTTAACGCGTGCCGGCTGGGAAGTTTCCCGAACTGTTTTTCGTGTCACTCGATTTTGGGGTCGGATAATTGCAAGGTTTCCTGCAATTTCTGGAAAACTTACCGTACTGGTTATGATACCAGCACCAGTCGGGATTGTCTGTCTCTCGTGGTCGAGAGCCAGATAGCTTACGTGAGGCGCTTCTACGCGGGGTTTTTGATCGACTACGGTCATTGCGAACTCTAAGATATCGTGTAAGCGTGTGACATAGTTCGGCCATGTCAGTCGAGGTCGATTGGGGTTTTTCTTTGACGGAAAAAACCTCGGCCTTAGAAGATCTAGTGATTTCCAAGATTCGATCGGCAGATGCAGCTAGTTCATCTATGGCATTGTTTTGAAATGAAACAAGCACTGCCTGCACCTGTTGAGGGAGTTTAGACAAGAAAAGTTGTCTAAATAGGCCATCATCGAAAGTTCGTTGGCCGATGACTTCTTTCATTCTAAGCAACATGTCCGTCGCAGAACCATGTTGCAAGTCGATATTGTTAAGGAGTTGGTCTAACCGTTGTCGATCAGTTAGGTCTCCTCGTTTTAAAATCGATAGCTTAAGCGATTCGTAAGGTTCGGAAACATCACTAGTAAACATACTAGGTGTTACGTACCTGTTAAACTCGCGCGGTAACGCCTTAACTACCGCGAGGAAACGTGTGCGCGAGTCCGTGATTCCGTGCATGCAAAAATCGGCTTCTGCATAGCAGAACCAGGACTCGATATTGTCGGGCCAAAATGGCGTTAACTGAATCGAAATAGGGGGAATAGACTTTAATTTAAGAACCTTAGGAGAGTGTTCCGTCATAGTAATATAGATATCGAAAAATGTCTAAGTAAAATATATCCGAGAAAAAAAAAGTATATCACAATATATAAAATTCAAATAAAGAATAACAATAAATAATAATATTCCAAAATGGAACAGACTCACTGTATATTGACTTGGTGTACCAGATCACGTCGGGTTCACCAATGATGATGCAACGGATATTCTAGTTTTACAACTAGATACCAGTAGCACCTTCTAAATTCGGTCGTTCCCAGTCAGATAGAAATCAGAAGTCGGACGAGAATCGGCTGGAAAGATATATTTGATTCGTTACCAATATATCGAGGACCTTTTCTATGAGCTGGCTAATGAAACGTAGGAGCTGTGTCCCACGCAGTATTGAAACGTGATCTGGTGCGGATGCATGACCGAAAGCCTTCAGCTAAACAAGTCCACTTAAACAACGTGGTCAGCATCCAATGTCGAACACTTAATGAGCTATTGATTTTGGGGAATTATTTACAGCTACACCCTCAATACGGCGGAATGAACCATGTCCGGACCAGGAGAAGTGTCTTTTTTTAGGTCATCAGTGAGATGTTTCCTTCAAAATATCCAGCCAGCTTGAATCTTCATGTAATAGCAAAGCAAACAACTCCCCCCCGAAAAAACTAATCACCATATCTTACTTATATAAACTGAGTATCTCAGTCGACCTTGAGGTGCGGTTTAGGTAGGTATTTTTAAAAATGTGGGTCGGTTATCTTTTCGGTAGACTTTGGAACGTTAAGAACATATTTGACGTGTTTAAATGTTCCTTTCTTTTTGAATCTTAGCTCTTGAAAAATTCCAACTTGGGTCCTTGGTGCCACAACGTAATATAAAATAAGTACTACCCATAGTTCTAAAATAACTCCGGATAATTATCCGTAACATTATTGTTCATTAGTCTATAGTGATTTATTGCAGCTTCTCTCAGCATATTTTCTCGTTTATTATGATCATTTAGACCCTGAAGTTCCAATTTAGGATTAGTCATATGCATCCAAATTTTGATCATATTCTAGTTAGAAAGAATATTCTTCCTGTTTTGTGAAGATTTCGAGTATATTCTGAATTTTTACCCAAAGCCGTAAAACATTTGGTAGTTTCCTCCAAAAATTGAAGAAAGACCCTCTAGAAGTTATAAGACGGGAAATATTAAAGAAAACCCAAAAACTTTTGGGATTCCTTGGAAACTGAAGAATTTCCACAGACATGGGCGAATTTTCGAGTTTTTGTGCCATTTCCTCAAAAATTCCCCGAGGTTTTATATTGCGGCTTCTCCAAATCTTACCCCAAAATAGGTAGGTTAGGATAGCTTTAACCACAGACTTAAACAACTGAATTGAAGGGAGTAAATCAAAGTTTACCTGTATCCTTTGGAAACTAGTATACTTCGATTCTCCTGCTCCTGGAAAAAACAATATTTCCCTCGTAAATTCTTTCAGTGAATGAAACAAAACGTCCGCAACGAAGCATGCCTTCTAAAACACCTGAAGTTCTAACCTCAGTCAGTCACAACATAAAACTTCGTACGTACGTACAAGCTTCTCGAAGCGACAGATGGAGAGCGAATTTGTAGTACTTCACTAGAGTCTTGAATACGGGTCTCGGATAGACAGCAAACATCAACATTAAGACTTTCTAAAGACATAGCCCCATCTGTTGTCCGATCTGCATTAGTGTGCGAACGTTGAAGGAAGCCAGCTTGAACGGCGTACGTGGTTTTAGAAAAACTGCTTCAGTATTCATAATCGGTGGAAGCATTCACTTTCAACCAGACAGTGACTGGAGATCGTTCAGATAGGACAGAATTTCCACCATGGGCGAGCTACTGCATAAGTTGGAAAGGAAGGATACACAATTTGAGAATAAAGGGAGTGAAAAAGCGACGCAGTAAATAATAGTAATAATAATAATAATGTAAATTGTCTTTCTTCTATTAGGAACGAGAGCAGTGAAGTTAGTGTAGTGCGTCATTTCATGTCATTTGTGTGTGGGCTGTGATACTGCCCGGGTGCCCAAACCGAAGCAGGTAGTTTTCTTAGGGGGCCACACCCGGAGCCTTTGACCTAAAGGTCCGATCTACAAGGCTGTGGAGCATCGTGAGGAGATGCAGTCCCATGGTAGCCGGTGACCAACGGTTGGTTCGTACGCCATTTGTTCCATCAGGATACTGGAGCCCATGTGCATCATTGGTTTAGAATCAGAGTTTTCTAACCCCCCTAGGTGGACCCTCCGTGTCCACCAACCCGGTTAAAGCGCCGGACATTCGCTTTTCGTCCTCTCACTTTCGTAAGCAACGCCCCCGCCTCGAGAAGGCAGTGAGTAGGGCTTCCCTGACAGAGGCTATATATTCGCGTGGCCATGTGAGAGCATTTGGAGAGGGATAGTGGAGTCTCCCCACTCTCGGCCATACCAGGACATTTAAGGGCGTGCTATGAAAACTAAAGTAGTTCAATATAACCCACCACCTGTTTAGACAACCTCCATGTTAACGATCTTAATATACAAACAGATAAATACTACACATCTTGTAAGGGTGTGTATTAAGTGACATGGTAAAACTTGTATAATAATATGCAAGGTATTAACCTCATGAGTGGGCTTCAGTGTTAACACCAACACATGGAGTTAGTTAGGGTTTGAAGTCATAATACTTCCTTTAGTAATTCAAAAATATTTGTTAAAGTATATGATTATTTTTTGATATGTGCAAACTACTTAAATACAGAGTAATTTATACGGTATAAAGTGTTAACTTGACAAGAAATGGAGGCGTTGTCTCAATTTGGTTAATGTTGGGATATTTAGCAGCACATCTTCCTGCTTATTCTCCAGACGTTTCCATTCCATTTGTGTCACAAATATAATCTGATGTTTGTTTTTAAATCTTAGGCAAACGCGTTAAATACGGGTAACGATAACCTGCTTCCAACTGTATGCACCCTGCATAATACAATATCACATCAGCATAAGCTAATCGGATGCAGCTACCAAATGAAGATATCATATGTTACCCCCCCCCAAGGGAAGCTTCTTAATAATCCCAACTCTCCATCATTAATTGCGGTAACTCATTTACCAGAGACAGGTTTATATACTTAGATTTGAACTTTGAGGTCTAGTAATACTACCGGGCTCTCTACATTAAAACAACGAGCAGTGTTTGAACCTGCAATGTCGTGCTAAATTGTAATGGTTTTCTGTTACACATGTACCTACTGGAAACACATCACTAATGTACGTAACGGTAAAGCGACTTAGTTGATCATAATTTATGGATAGGGACAATTCATCATAATTCAATTGCAAGCAAGTTTCACATGATCAAAGCTATCCAGTCAAGTTCGCGATATTTTTCAAATCTTAAACATTCGGTTAGACATCAAAGTAAACTGATGGATCGGCGGAATTCGGTTCGGTATCTATTCGAACGTTTAGTAGTGGCTTTAGTAAAAGTTCTCACAAATGGTTTAGTATGTAATCAGTAATATATGTTTGCGGATATTAAAGCGCATTACTTTTCAAGTAAAAGTAAATGAAATTCTGATGTAGGTGATGGTAGATTCTGACTAGGCAATCAAGAAAGCTGATTATATATTCGGTTTGTCATCTTTAATTTAAAATAATTATTTTACTTTTTGTGATATCCCAATAAGTAGAAATTTGTATTTCTAACGTTTTGTGACTTGATGTAATTTACATCTTGAGAATAAATCAATAAATAACCAAAATAATTAACACAAACCTAAATAGTACACTCATTTGTTCTTTTCTTACCATTTAAACGTGTGTTAATGTATTTTGGTTATTTATTCATTTAATGTAAATAAGTAAATCGCATCAAGTTACAAAATGTCAGAAACAAAAATTTATGCTCATTGCGATATCACAAAAAATATAATTGTCATTAACTTTCTACCGGATGCTTAGTTTATTTGAAACTATCAAGTCAAACCTTGGTATTGGTACTTAAATTGTGTTTTCCTAGTGAACGGTTTTTATAACTATTTTAACTAATATTTACTTTTCTTCTTGGATTAGTATATTTCAACCACCATCGCTGGAATTTATTTCATCCTCTTGTCAATCGAATCTTCAGAGAGTACCTGACAAACGACAATTCAACATGCCTAAAGTCGACCACTCCTATTAACTAGAAATTGAAATGCTTGTTTTTATTTAGTACTAAGAACTTTTTTTCAGAGTACGCCTGAATTACTCTTGAAAAATCTCAATAACATTATGCTTGGCAAAATCATTACTCATGTTCCCAACTTTTTGAAGCGACAGCTGATTTACCCCCACCATTCCTTACTAAACTTGTTGATAGAGAAAGCAAACTTCAGTGGCTTTGAATGTAAGGGATCTGACCATTTTCTTTCATATTCCTCAACTGAAAAGTTGGATTCTGTTATCACAGCCTCAGACCAGCACCCCAAAAATGGCATTGCCCGACTAAGTACTATTGAAGATTTAAAAAGCTTTGTGTCACATGTAAGTTTATATATATATATATATATATATATATATATATATATATATATATATAACGGTGTTTGCATTTTGTTACAGAGGTCGTAAAAATGTACTTTATGTACATCATACTGGTTCTTCTTTTCGGCTTTCAGCCACACTGTTTGTGTAAGAGCTAATGACACCACTCATTTACCCAAGTCGGGTATGTTGAGTAGTGCTAGGACTTAAAATGCAGTGGTTGAAAGCGTAGAACACCAAACAATAAACCACCTTTCCACAGGTATTTATTTCATTTCAAAATGTGACTATCCTTGTTTATATCCAGCCACATAGGGGGTAATTGGGTAGTACCATAGCCCTCGCTCACACCATGGTAACCACTGGTGAGGATTACGAACTTCACTTCCTACATGCCAATCGTCACTAATTATATGACATTTCTGGTTATTTTATTGCGTATACGTTTAATCGGTATCATTCTAAGTTTCTGCACCATTTTATTTCCATATGATTTTTACTATTCCTTACAATAATTTTAAAATGAAGCTCACTCAACAGCTTATTTCTGCCGAATAAACAGTTGTTTTCCGGCACCAATAACAAAATCAGGTATTTGTAACTGTCTCATACTCGATATGACTAAGCTTCACTATTCTCGACTTCTCCTTAGAACTCCAGGAATTGGGCGTGAAACAGAAGGTCGTGAGTTCAGTTTCCAGTGGTGGACTTGTGAATGCACACCTTTGATGAGTCCCATACCAGGTCGAAACATTTTTCCATCGCTTTTTGGTTTTCGATGTTAGACTAGCTAAAATCAGTCCGTAACTGAAACCATGTAAATTCTACTATCTCCTCAAGTCTTCTCCCAACAAATTCTTCGTTGTCAAACTTGGAAGTCTCATCTCTAATGGATTAATGACTGACGAAATCTCGACACGAGTACAAAATGTTCATTTGCTAGTTTATGACACTTGTGGTTCAGACAGAATGTTCACCTGCTTACCCAAAATGTTTATATTCTCTACACCAGACCTCTATCTCTTTACAACTGCAAAAAGACGTTCTTGCGTTATGAGTACTGGACATAAGGGAGTCTTTAAAGCCTTGTTTGCCTCTCAGTTCGTCAAAAAACCACTTTGGTAACAAATATCCAGTACTTATAATATTTTAGCCTCCACTGATTTAGATAATCGTGAAATATGTTACGTAAACCCAATTGTGGTGTACCTTAACATAATTTGTTGATTAGAAAATGACTAAAGAATAAAATAGGACATAGTATCAATGTGCAAAGTCATCCACCATTAATTTAAGATGTTTAGGGGAACACAGGCTGGTTAACATTTGTAACTCAATCTTTAAGAAATTTTATTGATACAACTCAAAGTTGGTTGTAGTGGTGCTTATGTGTATTCCTTTTTATACTTTTCGTTCTGTGCTTTGTTTTTTCTTCTTACACTTTTAGGCCTTCATTCTCATTATTCTCTTCGTTAGTTACTTTCCATTTTGATGTTATAGATCGTGATGAGTTTAATAGGTACAAATTTATAATCGACCGTACTTAGTTATTATCTGTTCGTTATGCATAATTTTCCTATCGTAAAATATACAGATTATTCGGCTTTTCCTTCCTAAAACATTTTCTGTCATTTTCCAGCGCGTCTCAAGGTAATCAACAATCTCCGTCTTTTACTACTGACAAATTATTTATTGTATAATTAAATGCCCCCAAATGCCCTGGTACAGCCGACAGTGGGGAGAGTCACCTCTCCCTCTCGAAATACTCTCATATGGCCAGCGAATATATAGCCTCTGCCAGAGAAGTCCTACTCACTGCCTTCTCGTGGCAGGGGTGTTGTTTACGAAAGTGAGAGGACGAAAAGCGAATGTCCGGCGCTTTAACCGGGTTGGTGGACACGGAGGGTCCACCTAGGGGAGTTGGAAAACCCTGATTCCAAACCAATGGTGCACATGGGCTCCAGTATCCTAATGGAACGAATGGCGGACGAACCTGTCATTGGTCAACGGCTACCATTGTACTGCATCTCCTCACGATGCTCCATTGCCTTGTGGATCAGACATTCAGGTCAAAGGCTCCGGGTGTGGCCCCCTAAGAAAACCACCTGCTTCAGTCTGGGCACCTGGGCAGTATCACAGCCCTCACACAAATCGAATGAGATTTGTGAGGCGCATATTTATCTGGTGCATTTTTGTACCAATATTTATGTGTTTAAATAAATAAATAAATAATAAATTCGGCTTTTCCTTTCTAAAACATTTTCTGTCATTTTCCAGCGCGTCTCAAGGTAATCAACAATCTCCGTCTTTTACTACTGACAAATTATTTATTGTATAATTAAATGTTAAAGTTTACCTTTTTTTCAAAACAAAAACATTTACCTTACGTAGCCTAGTACAACAGCTAATGATATTTTGGACATTGATATACGTTTGCTACCTTCGGAAGCATGTGCGATATGTTTAGAAGCTTTACTAAGAATGCAAAATCCGTCTTATGACTTACTAATTCATAGTGCTCAAAATGATTTAAGAAATTCTATTGCATCTGGTGGTGATTGGCCATCACATTATATAAAATTGGAGCATATAACAAAATGGCATAAATTTGATGAAGGAAGTATTCTATTCCATAACAATAATAATGATTATGACTACCCTTGGATGAAATCGGAAAAATTCGATCTTTTAGTATTAACAACAGCAGCTTGTGCCAATAGTTTATCTATTGAATCTTTACTAAGGCTAGCTGGATATTTTGCAAATTTTTGGAAGCAATATGAACCAAATGTTTACGCATCAGTACTACGTCATATTAATAATCAGGTGAGATTTTAATATTTTTCTATCACTATTTTATTACTTGTAATTTGTAAATATTTTTTGGAAAAAAGGTCTTGGATTAGACTGATTTGTGACTGACTAGCAAAATAAATGAATGGTACTCAGTAAAATATGTCGGTGTAATTGGGCTATTACACTAATGCTAAACAATGCTTACTGAATCGGAATTCAAATAAAACTAACATCGTATTTAACTGCAAGTATGATGTGGAGTTCGGCATATTGAATGAGAAATTAATATCAAATATGATAAACACTAGTAATCGATTTTCAGATTTGAAGTTTTATATTGACTCAAAAACAGTCTACCGGCTTTAATGATTTTGTTCACTGTAGTTGATGGTTAACAAGCTCAGTAAAAACCGTTTTATATATAATATAATATAATAAATCTTTCAATAGGAAATATTTTGAATTTCGTTTGAAAGTCTATTAGAGTCATCTTAATATTTTATGCCACCAGGACTTTCTTTAAATCCTTTTAACAGGACTGAACCATGAAATTCCGTGTCGGAAAGCAACATCATTCGAAGTTCATTAGAATTTTAAAAACTTTGCCCATAAATACCTCAGGTAAAGTTACAGGGTGTAATTAATTATACCAGTTGCTTCAAACTACCAGCAAATTTGAAAGTGCTTCCTAGTTTTTCTGTAATTCTTCAACCTTCCCAGTCCAAAATTTTCTCAAATACAGACACAAAATTTCAGTGACAGTTAACTCATAGTTTTACACTTTGAAATATCATAGTTCACTGTATTGTGAAAAATTTATCAAGAGCTTTTTTCTACGTGTTCACTTCTGTTAGCAAAGTCACAGATACTTGAAACATTTGTGTATCTATATGTTTATATTAATGACAGCAAGAATGTGATAGACACGTTCAATATTTTAGTGGTAATTATTTGAATTCAGTTGTCAGGAATTCCTCAATTTAGGCTTTCTTTATATCTTATTCCATAATCCTTTTTCTGTTTGAGACCATAAATCATTCTGCTCATTAATTTGTGTCTTATGATATGACCGAACATTGACACTTGTATTTCAGTGAATGATCATTTATCTTATTTTAATCCTATCTTTCACGTGGTTCTTATCTGAATTACTCTATTTGTCCGAAATATTTGTTTAACAAGACTGAATTATTCAAATAGTGAAATAGCTTCTTGGTCGGTTCAGTAATTAGTTTCACCTAATGGATATAAAACTTTCTAGTGAGACGTTTTAAAATTGGTCAAAAGAAGTAATACTCGTCTTCATGAATTGTATCAATTGTTAACCTTAAATTAACCTATTATAAAACTCCATTTTGTACACTTTACAAATTGATGCGCTAATGAAAAAGTTTTTACGTCTTTGGCTTAGTTCAAAGTCTTTAAAACCCATATGACATTGCAAATCTGTTTAATGTTAGTTTCTATTTTTATATGGTAATGTGTATTAGTAGTTAAATAACTTGAATCCCAATCATTAGATCACAGTTTCGAATCCTATCCTACTTACCTGGGTTTAGGCAACTGCTTAGTATTGTTATCTTTCACACAAAGCCTTTACTTAGACGAGTACATAAACCTATATTTGTTTCATGAGTTGGATAATTTATTACCTTTCATACTGCTTTTTCTAATAGATAAACAACTTATCATGCGTTCATTTGGCTCAGTTGGCACATGTATTATCTAAACTAAAGTGTAGTCAAACTTATAAATTCCCTCAGAAATTACATACTGAGATTAATTTATTGGGATCAGCAATCGCTATTCGTTTATTGTCTGGAAAAGAGATATTATGTTCAGTAGATCCTACAGTTGCAATTCGCTTGTTATACGATATGCATTGGGCGCTTTCATACAATCAAAAAGTGATTCTGTTCGAGAGTATTTATAATAATCTTACACTGAATCATGTGCAATGGAATTTGTATACAGTTGCTTTCCTACTGCTTCATTCATGTAAACTAATGATCTATAAACCTTCACTGATAAAAAGGTTAGTTCAATACATTATAATCACGTTCTTTGATTTGTTATTCTCAGTTACTTTCCGCACTAGTTTTCATTTTAAAATATATACACATGACAATGTTATCTCGTAGAATATAATCTGAAGGTGATCTGTATATTCTTGAAGAAGGCTTGTATATTTATGTAAGTCAACTAGAAATCTTGTAGAAAACGACATCTATAAATAGTGGTTAGCTGTAATAGCTTACCCTAAACGTAAAGTCTGTATTTCGAAATCACATTGACATTGGATTCATTTATTTATTTTAACACATAGTAACGCATATAATGAAAAAACGATGAATAGAAATAATAATAAATAATTAATCATAATAATAGCGATAATAATAATGGGAGTAGCAGTTCAGTTAAGGAAAATGCTACAAGAAAGGATTCTCTCAGTTAAAGAAGTTACTCTCACTTTTGTGAAGAAAGTAGGAATTACGGCAGGATCTCAACTGGCTTCTATTCTGAGCCATCCATGTAAATGTCTCAAGTTACTGTGTTGCACGTCATCCAGGGAGGGGGTCGTGTAAGACTAACAGGAACCAGTCCTGTACAGCTTTCTTTTGTACTACGACACCATGTCATGCACTGACCACCTCCGCTTATTCCAACCGGTCTCAGCGTCGGCAAATAATAAACAGCGTGGAATTCACCGGGACGACACTCGTTGGACATATTTAAGCCACCGAAGTCAGTGTTTCAAAATGGTGACACCAATTGAATTATCTTCACTGTGCCCCGAACATACGTTGCCGAACCTCTGCATTATCAACATTGTGTTGCCTGTTGGATATCAGCAATCCTTCGGAGACATCGATGATCAAACACAGAGAATCATCTAACATCCTCAACTAGCAGAGACCAGGTTTCATGAGCATAGAGCAAAACTGTTCTTTCCGACGCGTTGTAGATTCCACCTTGTACAGCTACACTAACATCACGAAGGTGACAAAGATGGTTCAGATTGACATAAGCATCTCTGGCTTTTACTTTACATGAATTGGTCTCATCACTCACTTCACCACCAGCACTTATGCAGCTATCCAGATACACGAATTTATCGATTACTCCTATCCGCTCACTACCCACAAGGAGTGCAGGATCAGGGTCCTGCCAGTCTTGTAAAAGTGCTTTGCACTTAGAAGGTTGAAAGCACATACCATACTTAAGGACAGTGATTGCCAACTAGTTAAATGCGAATTTCATAACTTGGATATCGTCGTACTGTAAGACAATATCATCCGCATACCCAAGGTCGAGGAGTCTTTCTCCAGGCTACAGATCCATACCACCGTTACATACATCCATCAGGGCTATTTTCATAACTTCATCAACGGCAAAGTTGGAGAGGAATGGTGAGATTGTGCAACCCTGCCTAAACTCACTGCTTGAACGCAACAATGGAGAGAACTGGTTGTGTGTCCTCACTCTGTCTGAGGTGTTTGTATACAGTGTTTTCAAAGCAATAATGAGCTTCTCAGATACACTTTCCTTCAATGGACAATCCCAGAGAACGGTCCTGATGTCAATATACACTACAATTGTTGGTTTGTGATAATTATAACAGTGTTCTAACATTTGGAGAAGGGTGGAGACCTAATCGATACATTCTCGACTAAAAACAAAACTAGCCTTCTCCTCGCGAATCAATCTTTCCGGAGTTTTGAACAATCTACGAAATATGACGGAAGCCAATGGTTTGGATGCCGTCAAAATTAAAATTATCCCCCGTTAGTTGTTGCACGGGTTAAATCCTTTTTAGTTATAGGGAAGGCAATGGCTCTTTCCACGATGTTGGAATACTTTCTGACCCATGAAAAAACAACTCAGTCCCTTGACAAAAAGGTCGCCACCACTTTTATAAATGGCCGGAGTAAGTCGTTTGGGCCTGTTGATTTGTGACGCCTCAAGAACTGGAGTTCTTGGGCGGAGATAATGAAAGGACATCGTTTCTCACATCGATTTCTTCTCACTTTGACGGAGCTTTCTAATCTATCAGCTCATAATCGGCTGTTAACTGGGATCCAACCGATTAGTGATGCCTCAGATCTAGCACCTATTGCGACACCAGCAAATAAGATTAAGGTGCAACAGGGTTCCCAGATAGACATACACAAAACGAGCTTTTCGAAGAGACAATAAATGGATTTTCCCCACAATTCTTCAAAATCTCCCTAGTTTTCCATGCATTAATGCGTCTAAATTCTATTGAGATCAAAATAGCTAAATTTGTTTAAAAATAATGAATAATGAAAAATGTCTAAAAACTTTTATCTTAATTAATATCTGTTATATACAAAGTCATCCTTGTGGTTCTGTCGCTTTGTTTACCGAACACTGATGACGGGTTGTTAGAACAGAATCAAATCCACATCTTGGACACTACTATTAACAATCACTAAACAGATAACTAGTAGTTCATAGATCGGTTTCATTAATATCACTACATAAGTGGTTCGTATTGCGTATTCTATTTATAGTGGTCATTTTTTGCTTGTTCTCACTAATCAACTTGTTTGTTTTTTAGTTGTCTAGCTAAAATATCACGTAAACTACGAATATCAGCTTATCATCCTACTATAAATCAATCCCAGTGGATTAACGCTATCCTTGCTGCTTTAGCTAATTACACTGTTAGTTTTAATGGTGCAAGTGGAAATTGTGAAGAAGAATTACAATATTTCATTAAACCACCTTGTCGTAATCACAACAACAATACAATGTCAATATCTAAAACCATATGTGTTCCGTACGACGTATTTACTGCTGATTGGGTCCGCACATTATTCAGTAATATATGTCAGCATGTCACAAGTCAACAAATAGTAGATTATAATTCTTTGAAGTGTTTAGCACAGATTACTTATTCCTTGTCTTTGTTTGGTTACAAGGCTGATTCCCTTATTGAACATTTTGATGAAGCAATAAAAAAACTTAACAATGATGCTTCCTCTAACATATCGACATCATTAACAACTGACTTTTGTCAACTACAATTATATATAAATATGGCTAAATGTCTACTTACCCCACTTTCTAAAAATAGTAGTGAAACTGAAAGTAAGTTTAATTTGTTCTGATTTAATAGTTTGTCATTGTTTTTTCCTCTTTAGTTATATCATATAGAAAGTTTTTAATTGACTAGATGTTATGTGTGATCTAATAAAGATGGAAAAAATCCAATATACTTTTTTAAAACTTTAGAAATTCTGATGTTGGTTCCCTAAACATTTTCAGATCAAAATGTATTAGTTGAAATAATAATTAACAAATAATCATATATACAAAACTGAAGGCTATATTATTTGATGGTTTCTATTTTAATGTGGATCGATTATTAAGCAGTGTAATGGTTGGAAGCTATTTTCTCAATGAGATGGTCAACACAAGATTGATAGTTATAGTGTTATTTTTGTATTCAAAATATTTCTGCATTTCATCTACCCATTTTTTATAATTACATAATTTTCATATTTGACTCATGAAGTCCTCGCAAAGGTACTCGATCGTGGCTGTTATCTTGACGTGGTGATCGGGATTGTTTTTTGTGATAACCTACTCAATCTTTGTTGGCCGGAAGGTTTTCTACTTTAGGTGATACCATTTCAGATGAGTCGGATGGGGAACGGTAAGACGAAAAGCAGGGACTTAAGGTTCAAGTGCGAAGTACTTCTAACTGCAAAGAGGTGCGACAGTACCTGAAATGATTCCGCCTCCTTACAACGGAATGAAGGAATTATAAAAGGTCGATCCTAAACATGTCGCACTTCATATTACCCCATGGATTCCCGTCTCCGGCAGCAAGACCTTTCGAAGTGCGGCTTTTATAAATCTTCTATTTGAACGCTTGATTCCAGGATATACTAGCAATGCTTCGAAGACACCTATGATCGAATACTAGTAGCCTACGACTATCCTCTACTCTTGCCGACCATGTTTCACTGCCATAAAGTAGGACGGGACGAACTGTTGTGCAGTAAATTCATCCTCTGGTTGGTAGACAGATATCCCGCCTACTCCATAAATGACGCAAGTTGGCGAAAGCTAGACGAGCCTTCTATATCCGTGCTATGATTTCGTCACACACTTGACCACAAGGGTTAATGAGATTCCCAAGATCAGTGAAGCGGTCAGCACGCTCAACTACTTCACTCTCTATCGTTAGTTCAGGTGTCGATACAACCCAATCCTAAAGTAACATTTTGCATTTCAAGGGGGAGAATCGCATCCCGAACATGCCTGCATTGTTGCTTATAGTGGTCAGAAGACTCTGCATTTTGTCAGCGTCTTCAGCAAATAGAACTATGTCATCGGCATATTTTAAGTCAACAAGTGAGTCTCCTGGTAAAAATTCAACTCCTGGAGATTTAGATGATGAAAGTGTTATCTCTAAAAGCATGTCAACGACAAAGTTAAGCAAAAATGGGTAGAGTGGACAATCCTGCTTCAGTCTGGGCACCTGGGCAGTATCACAGCCCTCACACAAATCGAATGAGGCGCATATTTATCTGGTGCTTCCTTGTACCAATATTTATGTGTTCAAATAAATAAATAAATAAGAGAGGACAATCCTGACGAACATCACTTGAGGTAATCGATTGTGATATTGGTTCGCCATAAGCTCTAACTCGACCAATTGTGTTCGAGTAGATAGCCTTTATGAGGTTAATGTACTTCTTTGGTACTCCTTTCACTGACAAACACTGCCATAGAACCTCACGATCAACGGAGTCTAATGCTGCCTTAAGGTCAATAAATATTACTATTTTGGGACGTCTGAATGTGTATCTATGTTCTAGGACCTGACGTAGTGTGAATATCCGGTCTATACAACCATGTCCAGGTCGGAAATCAGCCTGGTTTTCTCTAGTCTGCTCTTCACGGGCTTTGGTTAGGCGTCCAAGTATTATTGAAGCTAATATTTTAGACACTATATTAGTCAAACTGATTCTTCTGTGATTGTCACAAGAAGACTTTTGTCCTTTCTCATAGACTGACACAATCAGTGATTGGGACCAGTCAGACGGAATTACGTCTAGTTCCCAGATTCTACCTAAGACCCTAGTCAATATCGCTGCTAATACTGGACCTCCATCCTTAAAAATCTCAGGGGTAAACTTGTCGGGGCCTGCTACTCTCCCTCGCATCAGATTTCCCATAGCTTTTCAACCTCGTAAAGAATTGGAGGACATACACTAACTTGCCATTCAGGTCGGCTGTGGATCTTGAAAAACCGAAGTGTGGCTGAAGACCAGTTGAACTGATCCCTAAAGTGTTCTGCCCATCGATCCAATCTCCTGGATTGAGAATGAATGATATGCCCATCTTTGTCTGAGATAGTTTCGCTAATAGTTGGGTTCCTAATGCCGGTTTTTTTAATAAGTCTGAATAGCTGTCTGCTGTTACCTATTGCCGCTGCCTTTTCCATCTCTCTTGCTTTCGCTACCCACCACTGTTCACGATCATTGCGTAGGCTTCTTATTACCCTTCGCTTAAGCTGACTCCGCTCTTCGTTTTGTTCAGAGCCAGGTGGGATGAGTTTTCGAACATCTATCAGTGCTGTAGATGCTGGTGAGACCCAGTTTTTTCCCCTTACCTCATGGTTTATTGTACTAGCAGATATCACTGCTGTTTCCACAGCTTTTCGGATGTCATTCCATGCTGGGTGGACACAACTTACATGTCTGCCTAACTGTTTTTCTAGTTGTTCCTGAAATATATTCTTAGCTTGCCTATCATTAAGTAGAACCCTTAGAGGTTTCCCTGCAGCGTCTTTCCTACGTCCACTAAGACGCAGACAGATACGTGCGCGCACTAGAGCATGATCTGAATCTACACATGTGCTCCAGAATAAGTGACAGTTTTCTATCGAGCCCCTCGATCGGTGGCTGGTAGCGATGTGATCTAGTTGGGTCCAATGTTGAGACGAATTCATGGGTCGCCATGTCAAAAGATGTTTTTCCTTGTGCTTGAAGTTAGTATTTGCAAGAAACAGGCGGTTATCTGAGCATGGCTGCAACAGACGGTCGCCATTATCTGTTTTTTTTGAACCACGACACCATAAGATCCACCCAGGTGTCTTTCGCTTAGTTTATCCGCTTGAGCATTTAAATCACCAGCCACTATTACTACATCATAACGTCCAACTTTTCGAACAAGGTCGGAAAGCTTTTTATAAAACTCATCTTTTACATCATCTGAGCTGCAGTCAGTGGGAGAGTAGGCGGAAACGACGAAGAAGCAACGACAAGTGTCCCTATCTTTCCGAGTCCTTACTGGTCCGTTCAGTCGGACATCGTACAAGTGATTGTTTACTGGGATCCAGTCTTAGAGAGCTAGTTCTACCCTAGGACTTAATGCTATACCTACACCAGCGAGGCCACGGGAAGCAGCATCAGTGCTTTCAGATATACGAAGCGTGAATCGAGTTGGTTCGTTATTATGAATTGGTGAGGTCAAATAAATGACGCTACTCGGATCTTGTATGCGCGTTTCGGAGACGCAGCACACATCAATGGTGTAAGATTCTAAAGTCCTAGCTAAGGAAGCCTGTTGTCCTATTTGGCACAATGTTCGGACGTTAAAAGTTCCTACATGTAGTTTAGAGCTTGGTTTCAGGAGACCAGGGATAACGTTCCGTGTACTCGAATCGTTTGCCCTAGCTATGCGAGGTGATGAAAGGACGTGAGAAGGGTTAGTCGTGGAGATAAGAGAGTTATTAGAAGGTGACCTATTAAATAAATAAATTTCCTGATTAACAATCCATATAACAACATTTAGTTTATGTCACGGACTGATGTTTTTTCGAAAACCACTGGAAATTGGTACTGGACAGCTATTTCGTCCTAGTACGGTGTGCAACCACAAACCCGCCTGAAACCGAACCCGAAACCTTCAATCTCGTGGTGAATCTTTAGTCTTTAAACCAATAAACAGACATTTAATAGTTTACATGTCTAAATCCAATCAATCAGTGATGTTGCACGACCATGAAAATAACATCTTCAAGAAAACTAACAATAACCTATAAGTGATCATTATGAAAACATTCTTATTTAATGCTGAAGGAAAACGTAACTCGAAAGGTAATACAGGTATGAAGTGGCGCACTAGTCTATCTATCGAAGGTCTAAAGAGCACTAACACTTAATGAATTTCAAAAATTAGCGCAACAACGACTCTTGTTTTAAAACTATACACTCATGTGCATGAGCTATGAGTTTCAACATGGCCAATCTTATATCAGATCTGAAAATGAGATTTGATACTACCCACAAAAATTGGCATAAATGCTGTCTCTCAAAAATCTCTATACGACCAAAGCATTGGCAAATGAACTTTTACAAAAGAAATGTCCTTAGTTGAACCCTATTGGAGACCCTTGAGAATACACTAAAGAAAAAAAAGATTATTTTCAGCGACTACCTACTGACTACAATTTGAATGATGTAATAGAATAACATAACGCAAAGCTAAAAAAAGTACACTTCATTCGGTGAGATTTGTCAATGAAGTCAACGTAATTAAAAACTTAAAATGTTATGGATGAAGCCAAAACAAGCACAATGACTTGTAAGTGAACTTTCTCAGGGTCCAGTCCTAAATACAACATCAGCGATTGCTTTTTACAACTACACAGTGATAGTCCCTTACTTTTATTATAGACAATAAATTCAGCACCATTATTAACCCAGATTATATACTAACAAGTTGACATCTATAAAAATCATAAAAGGATTATTGTTCCTTGTTGAAGCATTTGTTTTGATTCAAATTAAATGTATACATACGCTAAAGTAAACGAAACTGAATAGTATATTTATCTTTATTTCAAAAACTGAAATCTTGAGGATGTGCTTAAAAGACTAATTAAACAGCTCTGGAAGTATCATACCGACATTCACATATGATCGAATGGAATATACAATCTACTGTATAAAAATGAACAAGTTGGGATTATCAGTAATTTACACTTAGGGAAAGCTTATATATTTTAAAAGCTTCGTTACAACCTGAAAAAATCTGCAAATCATTTGCTGAAGTTACCCAACTAATTAAGA